AAAGGCGGGGGTGGAGGCTTATTGAAGTCAGATATTTATGCACAGCGGACACTGAAATAGCAACAGTTCTTGGATGCCATTCTGAGAGAGGGTAATGTCGTCAAACAAGAACTAGTTGTTATGACCTGCACCTGGTACTTCTCTTGCCTGACTGTTGTTCCCAAAGCCAGCACGGAGGGCAACAGAAGGCAATCAACCACGACGAGAGCTGTACTAAGTGTAAGCCATTCTCACAAAAAGAATGCGTACATTCATTGATCCGTTTGATGAGAAAGTGTCGGAGACATGGACAAATCAGATCTGACGAGAGATCGATAGTCACGGTCCAGGTACACGCTCTCATGGCGGCATGTGTGGTAGCTCACGCGTGCACCTTTCTGTGCGATGACTCATCGTGAGAATAGAGGCATTCCCAACACTAGTACTGGACACACAACACACTGGACAGGAACTTAGTACTAATGCCGTAGCCAACACTACCGCCATCACCACATCCGACATCACCATTGTGACGATTCTATTGAGCAATGAGATCAACCAGTGTCCAGCAAGGCGGACCCATGAGCGGCGACCTGCGCATGGGTTGGTTCAGAGACAGATATGCTATGCATTTACCTCAACCCCTTTCTTTGAAACCACTTCACCCTGATAGCAAAACGAAGTGGAAACCATAGAGGTGGGAGCGGGCACATTGGCCGACAAAGTTAAACAGCATGTCTGCGTGTATCCCACACTACGTGCTCCCAAATAATTAGAGACAGCTGGGGTCTGGCATGGGTGAGAATGTCATGAAGATCACATTAAGAAAGCATTGTAGACTAACTCGGAGTAGGCCAGAGTTATAACGCCAGCTGCCAACTTTACAAGCCCCGAATGGAAGCAAGTTGCGATATTTTCCAACGCGTTAGATTAAGTGTGGTGATAAATGCGCTGATTTCCAATGAGGATGGATCCTTAATGTCAATGTTGGCCTCTGTCTCTCTCCCTCCCTCTTCTCTCTCTTATGTACCAACCAACTGTGCGTGAGATTGGACGCAGTGGCTGACGTGAAAGGAGAGCCTGTAGTGGCCCAAGTTCGCCTCGACCTACCTTTTGGACGGCTGATGACTACGCGAGAACCTCCACAGTAGCCTGGCCTCCCTGTGTCTGCTCACTGGCTCTCAAGGTAAACTCACTCGGACCTCAATGCGTTGACTGTCCCCGGGCAGGCACTGCGGACCAAGCCGCCCTAGCGGATGGACGTGCGGTCCGACAGTTCACTTATTCCTGCGTATTCCCCATTCCTTCTGTAAAGAATAAAATCTTCCTTCCACTCTGGCCTCCTATGACTTCTCCTAAGGAACGGGACTTGAAGATCGCACTTGCTAGGGTTTAACGTACTTAACCCCTGCGATAAGGCTCTCAGGCATGCCACGCGCATGCACGGCAGGAGTTAAGGGCCAAAATATGTAAACTGTACGCGGTCAATGGGTGAGGTTAAACCCGACGGGTTGAAGCCGTCATTTAGTCAGGATTCTAATCGTGCTTTCCTTTCTATTAGGCATTTGCAAGGGGTAGGTTCCGAATCATAAAATCAAGGTAGTCACGTTCTTTAGAATGGCCAATCAGATTGGAATGTGGCCTTCGGAAGTATTAACAGCTAAGCAGGGGGCGCAAGGCGTTTCAGCAACCGAACAGGCACTGCGCCACAAAACTACCACTTAAAACACCAATGACTCTGAGCCACAGTTAACAAAAAATATTTAAAAAAATATTTATGCATTTATATTCATATATTTGGAGGAACTTACTTCTGCAGAGCCTCTACGGTTTCTACGTTGTGGGCATAAACATCTAATCCCGAGTCGACCATTGTATTAATTGACGTGATGTTGCCACGAAAATCCGGGAGCAGACACTCTACGAGCATGGACGGCGTCGCGGCCTTGATTTGCCTAACTATAAGGTGAAAGATATTATTTTACAAATAATAGCAAATGTTTAATGGGTTTGAAAAGGCATTTCCGATAAAGACAAGAAAGACTGGAATAGCTATTTTTCGGCTTATTAGTCCTCATTGCCCAGACATACCCAAATCTAGGTGGTGCACCAACCGAGGCTCGAATTCGCGACTTATTAGTCAGAAGTCCAAAACTCACTGCGTCAAGATCTCATTGTCTCGTCGATTTCGATCAGGATGTAGATGGGCGCTCACCGATCGATTACAGAACTCGTCCGTTCGAGCTTATTCTCGAGTCCCCTCAGCGGCCGCACAGGGACTAGTATGGTAGACAACATAGCATTACCGACTGGGTATGGCTGGCTGATGACGGCTAATAAACCAAAAATGGCCATTTTCATCCCCGTTGTTTTTGTCCGTAATGTCTTTCTGCCTATAATATATGCTAGACGTTGAGCGGCTACTGGCGGTACTCAAAACTGAGCCCTAAGACACGACAGAACGAGTGACTTCCGTAACCTATCGTTGTGCTCTGATCCACCATTATGATGGGCTCGTTCGCAAAAAGCGACAGGGAACACTGCACCGGTGGAAATTTGCATTTACATGTGGTAATAGCGCAGCACATGCGAAGCACCTACCTCACTTTCCCATCCCAC